ACACAAAATAATTATTACTTTCAATAAAAGACCCCAAACACAACAAGGAGTCTACAAATGCATAAAATGCATGAAACAAAAAGGAACTATTTTCTATGCGTAATGGCACACCACCGCGAAGGTGAAGCTATTCGATCTGTTTGTTTCGCGAGGCTCTTCCAACATTCTAAGAAAGAACATTTCAAATCTGCCAATAGAGGGCGGCAGCCACACTCCCACCCAAAATCATTTATGATTTTCTACAACATGTACCAAAAAACTTACGATAACGAGTGTACTCTATACTGCTCCCACCCATCAGGGCTACATCGGGGGTGGTGGTCTTCAGAATTGTTTTCTACAAGTAGAACAAGTTTATGGATAGGTCTCTCTAGAATAGAGCAATTAGTTGTTCTCTTACCTCGTTTGGTTAAGTTTGGGTCACCCATAAGAATCTTGACCCGTCGTACAAGTCCATCTTTGTCATTATTGGTTTCTATTACCTTTGCTAATCTCCAATGAGATCTAATGGTGTCTTCTTCTTGAAGAAGTACAATGTCACCTACCTGTATGTTTCTTTTCGTCTTTTGCCATTTCTGCCTGGACTGGAGATTTATCAAATACTCCTTTCGCCATCTTGTCCAGAATAAATTGCTTAGGTACTGAACTGTGCGCCATCGTTTACGAGCATATAGATCCTCTTTCACAAAATTACCTGGAGGTGGTGCAACAACATCAGATTTCATTGTCAGGAGCTGATTAGGAGAAAGTGGAGTCGGTCCCATAGGATCATTCAAGTGCTCTGTTGTCAAAGGCCGGCTATTGACAATGGCCATAGATTCATATAAGAATGTTCTGAGAGACGAAGTATTCAGCCTGGCTTTAGCTTGCTCAAGGATTCCTGCAAGCACGTTCCTTACTGACCTAATCTGGCGTTCCCAGACACCTCCCATGTGGCTAGAGGCTGGAGAATTGAATATGAACTCACATTGAACACTCTGCAATGTGTCTTGGATTGTGTCTTTATCTAGTGCCTGCATTTCACGATAAAGCTCATTTTTGGCACCAATGAAGTTAGATCCCCTGTCACATCGTATATGTCTTACAGGACCTCTGATAGCAATGAATGAACGTAAGCTATTAATGAATGCATCAGTAGACATTTCTTCTATAGTTTCTATGTGAACAGCACGAAGGGCCAAACAAGTAAAAATTACACCATATCGTTTCACTTTACATCGACGTTCCTTAATGATGAATGGGCCGAAACAATCCATTCCACAGTATGTGAATGGTGGAGCTGGCTCTAAACGATCCTTGGGAAGATCTGCCATTCTTTGTTTGTTGGCCTTTCCTCTAAGTTTTCAACACAGGACACATCTGAATATGTACGATGCAACTGCTGAACTACAGTTCAGAATCCAAAATCCACTTGAACTTAGACTATTCACGGTCATTCCTCTGCCTTGGTGAGCCACCTTTCTATGACACCATCCAATAATCATAGACGACACATGATTCTTCTTAGGAAGGATAATGGGATGTTTAACATGGTCAGGCATGGTAGATCTCTTCAATCGTCCACCTACTCTCAGTACTTGTTGATCGTCTAAATAAGGACTTAATGAAATTAGACAGCTGTTTCTTTTCACAGATAATGCATCCTTTGAATTGGTACGACGATTTAAATCTTCTATTTCTTCAGCGAAGGCATCTTGTTGTGCCCACTTTATGATGGTCATCACTGCTTTCTGTCTAGCTTCTTGTGGTGAAATAGTAGTCTGCCTAAGCTTCCTGGAAATGTATTGATGTAATACAGCAATTGCAGTTACTGCCTTGGACCAGTCTGAGAAGCACTCCAAATGATGCAGCATTGATGAAGTAACTACGGTAGTAGCCAACACCTTTGCAGTTTTCAGTTGCGGATCATCTTCTTGTAGATCTATGTTCATATTGCCAAAAGATGGTAGTTCTTCATTCCATAAAAAGGCTGGACCGGTGAACCAGTCACTGGTTTCAGAGGAGTGACTCTTGCTTTTCCTAAGAAAAGGGAGCAATGTATGTTACTATGAACATCAACTAATCTCAGATAGGAACATTGTCCATATCCTGTAAGGCTAGCGTCTGAAAAATGGTGCAGCTCAACTTTCTTCAAGTCTTCAAAACTTTCTGGTTTGTAGCATCTCCTGATTTTGAGATCAGCCAACTTAGGAATTTCAGAAAGCCATGATTCCCATTTTGTACTAAGATTATCTGGTAGGGGTTCATCCCATTCCATACCCTTCTTCCACATCTCCTGTAAAATACGTTTACCACACAAGACAAATGGTGCAAGAAATCCGAGTGGAAGCCACAGTTGACAGGATACCACAACGTGTAGGGGAATGGTTTCTAATGGCTGGTCTGAACTGAAAGGAATCTGATTCTCCACACCATTCAACACCGAGGGCTCTTTCTACTGGTAGGTCACTGGAACAAAGATCTAAGTCCTTGATGCCTTGTGCTTGCTCTGAGATAGGTATCAATTCCATAGTATCCCTGCTATTGGAAACAAATTTGTGCAGACGAAGATTCCCTTCTGCACAAAGATCACGAACACCTTGAATAAGTTTAATAGCTTTAGACACTGATTCAACACTTTGCAGGCCATCATCTACATAAAAATTCCTGTTAACAAAGTAGACTACATCACTACCATACTGTTGATTATCTTTAGCTATACGTTTAAGACCATAATTCGCACACCCCGGTGAAGACACTGCACCAAAGAGATGTACTCTCATCTTGTATACAACTGGGTCAGAATCTATATCGTCATTCTTCCATCAAAGAAATCGAAGAAAGTCTCTATCCTGCTCTGAATCTATGGAACATTCTCTCGATATCACACATGATAGCAATCTTCTCTTTCCGGAAGCAACAAAGAACACCAACAAGAGAATTTATTTGGTCTGGACCTTGCAATAAATGGTCATTTAGGCTTGTTTCTTTGTATCTGGCACTACAGTCAAATAAAACACGTATTTTACCAGGTTTTTTGGGGTGGTAGACTCCATGGTGAGGTATGTACCAGACATGTCCGACTTCTTCTTGTTCCTCAACTAATTCTGCATCGCCCGCTGAAATGATGCTCTGCATGAACACTTTATAGTCATTTAAGTACATAGGATCACTCTTAAATCGACGCCAAAGGTACTGCAGGCGATTCTCTGCCATAATCATGTTGTCTGGCAATTTAGTTTATCATGTTTAAACGGGAGTGGCATTGTATAAGCCCATCATCTCCCTTGTGAATA